CAACCACATGGAAGTTCAGGCTCCAGCTTCCACCGAGAAATCTTTTTCTCCTCCACATCTGAAGACAAAAGGAGAGGAGGCCTGGTGGTGAGCGGGATATCTCTGTTAGTTGTCAGCGCAGGTCCATGGGTTAGGAATGCTAATGAGCCTCTTGGCCAGCTGAAGACTTGGTTCTCTCTCGCACACCCTGACGCTCACACACACTCGGGCTCCTGCACGCCGACTGACAAGCACACAGACAGAGCCTCGTGCACGACCCTGTCTCTCTCCTTTTTCCTCTGAGCCCAGAGATCGATCGCTGACCCCACCGTTGGGCCAACGCTTTATTTATCTGGCTGCGCAATGATATTATCAGCCTTAAACGTTATATACAGCAAATGTCTTTCTAAATCAACACAATAGGATAGCTTGCAGAGACCAGCCGGGTCTGTCTTAAAGAAATCCCTCGCTATCTCTCTTTCTCCCTCTCCCCTCCCTTACAGACAGCCCTCTCCTTTCCATCTTTACAACTGGGGATATTTTATACGCTGGACTTGGGGATCTGATCCCTTGCTTTCAGCTTGGTTGGAGGAGGCCATAGCAGACTAGGAGATGGATAGATACCATTATCCACCCATCACTGTGATCTCCATCAGGGGTTCTCTTGTGAGCGGATCCAACTGCCTAGACCTACTCTTATTCACATGATCCGCATTTCTCAAAATTGGGGTAGAAGAGAAGGCGAGGGGTGGAGAATCGAGTGTGCAACCTTGCACCATGTTAATTGTTTTCTTTCCTCTCAATTACATTCATAAACCTATTTTCTGCATTGCATGTATTTCTTTGTGCTTCAAAATTGAAACCACGTGCAGCCTTCTCCCCTCCACACACACAATAAATGCGCTGCCCCCTCCCCCAACCCATCACACAACTATTTACATCTTGGGTACTCACTCCGCGCGCTCCGGACCCGGAGAAGAAATTGGCCCCATGGGACTAGGTGAGGCTTTGTGAAAGCATCTCTCAAATCCGTATCTCGGGCCCCATCTCAGAGAGAGGCTCCTGGACTCCCCTTCCAGGCCTCCCCCCATCTCCTCCTCGCACAGGTGGTTGCGACTTACTCTGGGAGAGCTAGCAGGGAGGATATCCAGGGAGAAGGCAGCTCTGCAGTGTCTGGCCAGGCCCCCCCAACACCCTGGCCCGCTGGCTGGCAGGGGTCAGCGGTGGCTGCCAGCGCGCCTCTGCTGCCCCCTGGTCCCCGCGCCCTGGGCGCAGCAGAAACCGCACAGGGAGCGGCCGCTCCCAGGGGAGCATTCCAGACCTAGGTCCTCCCAGGCAAAGAAGTCCCACCATAAATAAATAAATAAAAATAAATAAATAAATAAATAAATAAATAAATAAACTCCACAGTGGGGGAGGGGTAGTTGGAAAATGGATTCGCTGACAAGGAGAGATAATAAATGAGAGGCGCTTTCAGATAGATATCTCAGACGTGAAATTGCGCCCAGCTGGTTGTGTAAGCAAACAAATAGTTTCATGTTAGGAACTCTCAACTTGTGGCTTGATGAATAGAACACGACAGAGGTAAATGGGTCTTTAACTCATTTAGGAATACAACTCTTTGGCTTTCCAAGTAAAAGGCCCAGTGACGCCACGGATCCTGAGCAGGCCCTCTAACAAGAGTTTTATTAGTTCCCACTTGTGTCTCCCTGCATCCCCTCCCCACAGTCCTTCATGGTTTCCCATCTGCAGAGGCGTTCAGGTGATTCGTCCGGTAAGCACCTCCCGGAGCTCACGGGAGGTGATTCTGCCACTGTAGGAGATACAAGGACTGTCCATGAGCAGAGGAGGAGAAGGAGGATTTTTTAAAAAATAAACTTTTTGCAAGCTCCAAACAGAGGAGCTCAGATGGGCTTGGATCAAGGGGGGCTCCAGATCCCCAAGACCTCTTAGCGCAGAGCTGGGTGGCTGGGCCTTCAGGAGGGGTTGAGACCTTTTGCTGCTGCCAGAACTCGCCAGCCTGAACCAGCTTGAGGGGCAGGGGCCGGGAGGCCCAAGGTTGTTCTCACGGCAGGAGGGATGCCCATTCCCACTCCTGGGCTTCTGCCAGGCCTGGTCGCAGATTGGGGTGGGGGACAAAGGTCACATTTTAACTCGCTTGTGCCCGTCCCTGTCCCCTGGCGGTGGACGAGGCATAGCCTCATTCCCTCGAGATTCCGGGAGGAGAGCACGTCCCGAGATGGCCTTTTTGATGTTTCCAGCAAAGCTTGAGGCTAAAGTAGTTTAAACCAACTTCAAAGCCCCTAAAGTTCTCAGTCACCCAGCAAGGGTTTGGGTTAGAAATGGGAACGTTTGCCTTTCATATGTCACAGGTAATTTCGAGAGGGAAGTCACCTTGTGTGGGCCGCTCTCCGACTGTTCGAATGTCTTTCCTCCGGCCCTGGGCACGCCGGCGGTGCCACCCCGCCCAGTTAGCCCAGGCCCACTCCTGACTCCTTAGGGCTGCCACGGCCCGGCAGGCCAAGGCGGGGCTGCACCCCCAAGACGACTGTCTGCCCTACACCTGCCTGCACGGCTCCCCCTGGAGCTTGGCTCGAAGGCAGGCTCGCTCTTCAGGGGCTTCCGGGCGGCCACCCAGGCAGAGGAGACTGCCACCTGCTCCATGTCGCCTTCTGCCCAGAGACTCAGGAGGCACAGGACACTGAGTGGGGCAGCCCGGCCACTACTAGGGCTGCTCCTGGGCGCTGCGAGGAAGCCCGGGGCCGCGGCCACCGGTCAGCCCAGCCCGGGCAGCCTGCAGATCGCGGGGAGCAGTGAGGACGCCTCCTGGTTGTTCATGCTCATCCCGTGGCTCAGCTGCTGCCGTCTCAGCTCTTAAACCTTCTTTTAGCGTGAGCAGATCTGGGGCTTTGGGAGGCGGGCAGCCTGTCCTGTCCTGCCCTGCGGGGGCGCCCTCAGGGCCCCTGAGTCCCCAAAATGCTGTGTCTCTCTGGTTGAGACACACAGAAACCTTGGAAGAGTACTGTCTCTCTGTGTGTAATGCAGGCTTGGCCACCAAGGAGACAGCAGAGGTGAAAGCCACTGCCTGCGGCCCCCAGACTGCCTTGCTCCTCCCTTTGGCTCTACCCCAGGGCCTCCAGGTCCCTAGACTCAGCCTGCGAGGGTGTCTGGGAGGCCACAGTAAAGCCTGCTTTTCTTCCTATGCTGTACTGGTCAGCCCTGGGCTTGGGCCCAGGCTGAGACAGGTCGCGGGGATTCCCCAGGCCGAGGGCAACACTCTGGGCCCCGTCGGGCAAGAGCCAAGTTACCACTGTCACCTCTGGACACCAGGGCAAGGGCCTCATACATCCCAGGCCTTCCGGGCCAGTCCCCACACAGGGCACCTTGTGCTTGGGCGTCCATAGTGAAATTAATTGAAAAATACGTTTCAGGCCTACAAAAATGTTTATCTGTTTTCATGAGAGGGATCACACTGTAATGAATATATTTACATCTCATTTCCAGAAAGGCAGGAAAGATCGGTGAGCACTGGGTGGCAGCTCGGCTCCCCTCCCACTCCCTGCTGGGGCAGCAGCCCATCCTGCCCCAGTCCCCACATTCCGCTACCGATTGGGCAGCCCGGGAGTGCTCCCTGAGACTTCCTGGCACACTGTCGTGGGTTAAATATGAGCTCTCCCCACGCCCCTCCTGTCTTGGGGGCCCAACTTGCAGCGAAGTCAGCCTGAGTTCAAGGACATTGCTCCTGGGTGTGGTGCAAAGGACCAGGCCCAGGGCAGAGTCAGATCCTTGGGAGGGCAGGAGGGGCTCAACACCCCACTCACCCTATGCGCCTCGCCACCTAGGGCTCAGGCCCGTCTCCAGGCAGGCCGCTACAGATCGTGGGCTTACAGGGGCTTCTCCACAGAGAGCATGGCATCGCCCAGGCTGCGCTGCACCCAGAATATTAAAACTTCAAGCTGGTTGGAGTATAGGAGCATGTTAATGCATTTTTAAAGCGGGGGAGGGGCGGGGGGGCTGGCGACTTCTAGACAGCAAATTAAAAGCAAAACTTGGCCAATGACTTCTGAAAGTGAAGCTCTTGCCTCAACCGGGCCTGTTTGGGGGCTGGGTGAGGGGAGGAGGTGAGAGGTGTTATTTTAAAAGATCTGGCTTTATTAATACGTTAAGGAAAAGCTCCCTTGGCAGTATGTGTTCTAGCAGCGCTGACTCGGATCCTATAAAACATTCATGCTCCGAAAGCTGTTACAGAGAGCAGCCCCCCCCTCCCCCCACGAAGATTCAAGAAGAGGCCTCAGCGGGCGGTTTCTGCCCTGAAAGGGCCACTAGGGCCCAAACGCCGCTTCTGGAAAGAAGCTGCTCCAGCCTAGCTTCCTGACTCCCAGGTTCCAGGTCCACACCCCTAAGTGCCAGGGTGGGGCCCGTCCATCCGCCCAGTAGAGCTCCAGGGCCCTTCATCTGGAGTGAAGGGCAAACCATAGCCAGCTCTTCAGTGGACCATAATGGGGAGCAAAGCCAGGGTTCCCAGCGCTGAGGCCCCAGCTGTCTCCCAGAGCTGGGGAGAGGCCGGATCCTCCAATCACAGGAGCGCGGTGCAGAGGCGTCTCCCTCCGGTGACCCCGACGTCCAGCGCTCGTGCCTCTCATCCACTCTAGCTAGGCAAGTTCCCCCCTGCAGTCACTGAAGCAGGCGGCGCCCCGAGACCCGGCCCCCGCGCTCAGCCGTCTGCCCCAGCCTTGGGCCCAGCTGTGTGCCGGCCACCTACCACCCACAAGGCCACAACTGCGGCTGCCGGCAACCGAGGCGCCCTGCCCTCCCCGCCAACCCCGGCCCACGCAAAGCCTGGCCCTCCGCATTTACAAACCAAGGCAGTGGCTTGGTTTTAGGAAATAAATCTAGCCAACTTGGTAATGGATCTTAAAAGATTCCCCCCTAGTCCCCCCATTCTAACAATAATTGGAGTGGAAATTAATTGGAAGGTTCTCTTGCACTCATGATGTCCGTCAAGCAACCAAACACGTGGGTTTTGCTAAATTCTTTTATTTTTGTTTAAATTTTCACTTCAATTTTAATTCTTGAAGAACAGCCTCGACAACATATATCGCACTCATTATAAGAAGCAAAGGGTTATATCAAAAATTATTAGTATAGAATCACAGGAAATCTGGTTTGGAACCAGAAAAAAATACAAAACAGATATAGATACATAGACACAGGACAATTTTTTATAATTATTTGGAAAATGTTATTTTCCCCTAATTCTTGTTTCCTTTTTTATGTGCATACGATGTTTAAATTTTACAAAAAATGAAAATAAAGACTAGTATTTTACAAAATGAATAACAATGTTTGGGGGTGTGTGTGTGTGTTTCTACATAGGATTCAGTCCACTTCCATGTGTGTTGTTTTCTGTACAGAATATATCCACATCAGTCCACAATAAATCCTGGAAGGTCCGTTAGTCTCCTTCTGTTTTATTAAAATTATCATGGTCCTCTCTTCCAAAATTTTTTTTCTTTTTCTCAGCAGACACAAGGTCCTCTTTCTTTCCTTTCCAATGTGTTCACAGATCTGATCCTAAAAGAATCTCTTTTTCTCCTGGTTTGCAGCTCAGGTTGCATTTCTGCAGGGTGAGCTGCTCCTGTCGTCCCGGCCCTCCTCCCCCCTGCCAGGCCTGCCTGGCCTGCCGCACCCTGCATCAGCCGCCTGCTGTCCCGGAGGCTTTGGAGTCCATGGCCCCCGCAGGTCCTCTGAGTCTCTAGGGGGGCGGGGGCAGGTGGGAAGCGCCCAAGGTCTAGGAGCACTGGATGGACATGTAAGGCCAGTTGAAGCTGCTCCCAGACAGTAACATATCGCGGATGAGAGTTTCGATGGGGGTTTTACCTACCAAACGGACGAAGAAGAGCTGCTCGATGACCGAAGAGGACACGGTGCGCAGCGAGGGCAGTCGCAGTAGCAGTTTGCCGAAGCGGCTGGGCTGGTTAGGGTACTGGCTCCTCACATACTCCTCCAGCGCGCACTGCGACTTCTCCTGCAGGCTCTCGATGTGGGCGGCATCCGACAGGCCACAGGCATCTGCCCGAGCAGCCACAGGAAGGAGAGACAAGGGGAGGGGGCACACGGTTAGGTCAGCCAACAGCAAAGGCACGAAAAACAAGCCATCAAAAAAAATTTTTTTTAAGGAGAAAGGAAAAAAAAAGAAATATAAGGAAAATGAAAAATTCTCGCTTCCATGCCTCCCCACTCCTCTTTCACCATTCCCTGCCCCCAGCCCTCAATACAAATAAAATAAATCAAACCCCCACCAAGCCTAGGGGAGTCGGAGAGAGGAACACACACATGCAGAGGCAGCAACGTCTCTAGTCCCTTTGTTTTTCCTCTTTCACCTTTGGATTAAATAATGCACGATGCTGGAGCCATGTTCGCTGTGCGGAGCAACCTGTCCTCTGCCTGCGGGGGAGCATCCTTCCGCTGTGCTCATTAAAGGGAGGACTTTTGCCCCTTTTGCCCCTGATTTCGGGGTGATCAGGAGCCCTGAAGAAATATGCAGCCTGGAGGCAGTTCTTAAAGGCTTTGTGGAGTCCCCTTCTCAAACCCAAACGAGCCCAACCAGAAGCCTCAAGGAGAGCGTAGATTGTGTAGTGAACAAATACATGGGAGGAAATAGGGAATCGTGGGCTGGCAGTGCCTGGAATCAGATCAAGCCCATGCTTTAGCAATATAGGATTGAGATCCACTATCTATGCAAGCAGGAACTCTGCAGCAAATCCTTGGTGAGGGTGTACACTTCTATCTGTGCCTCAGATCAAGTAATTGAAAATTGGTCACATCTCTGTAAGCTGTATAATAATCAGGAGGAATATGGCTCAGTTACTCCAGGCTGCAGAAAGGAGACATCTTCAGCAATCAGACACAAAGCTGGGCTAGAGGCAGCTGCTGCTGCTGCTTCAGAACTGGGAGGGGGGCAGTTGAGGGGGGATTTGGGGATATAGGCTTCCTATGGCAGGACTAAGGCAGAAAAAGGCACCTACACACAATGACAGCAACTCAAAACCTGTGTGTTTATCTCACATCAACCAAGGCTCTTCTTGGTCTCCTAAAAATATTTTAAGACAGTTTCAATATTTCAGATTTCAATATTTCAAGCAATTTATACTATATCAACTAACTAGAGGCAAGCAAATGGAGGGGCAGGTGGAATCAGAGGAACGAAGTGAAGGCTTCCTCTCCTAGTTCAAACACCCATGTTGTTTCTTATATTAATAATAAATATTTTTAAAAAAGGAAGATCACAGAGGAACCCTTAGCCAGTCAGGAGGTTGACTAGAGATCAAAGGCAGAGTTTGCTAATATATAGATCTGGGAAGAAATTCATGCATGGCAATGCCCCCAAAAGGACATTATATAATTGTGAATGGGCAAGTGTGACCCTAAGAAGACATAGCAAATGATTCAAAGTGAAACCTGTGTCTGCTGAGTTTCTGAGCTTTATGTCTTTATATTTCAAGAACTGTGATTTACAAAGCATTCTAACACCTTCATCTACAAGGCTATGGCCTTGAGCAAAAATACAAATAAAACTAGTGATAATTCAAGAACTTCTGAGGCAATTCCCCTTTGACCCCAGATCCAGACTGGGTGGCTCTCAGATGTCTAATTACTCCAGCCAGCGCTTGGGTGCATCCACATTGGCCTGACTTGAGAGGCTAGTGAGATTTTATGGCTAGCAGGATGAGGGCAGGAGCACTTTGGGGCTCTGCTGCTTAGAGAGGGGACCCTGAGGTCTGCCCTTGGCCCTGCGTGCTAACCTGGCTCCACTGAATGGCCACCATGCAGACTCATATTTACACATATCTTGCTTTACATACATTATCTGCCCATTATGCCACAAGATCCCTTTCAGTCTCAGACAATGCAAAATGAAAAGGACCCACTGATATCCCAGCAGATTTTTTTAAAGACCCATGTGGCATCCCCTCAGGTCTGTAAAATATTTATGTGATATTTATGATTAGGACCCTCAGAGTGCAAGGTCACTACCCTTCTCCCAGCTAGACCGCTCAAAGGGAGAGAAGCCCAGGAAAGGTGAGCTTGGGCCCTTGTGCTGGCTGTTTTGATTTCTTTCCTCCTTTGAAGGCAGAATGCCTGTAGCTGGGCCCGGCTGCCAGGTGCCAGCCGGCCACGCCTGTGGCCTACCTCCGGCAGGAGCCCTAGTTCTGGCCTGGCTTCCCACTCCAGATATTCATTCCCACTCTGGATATTCCTGCAACAGGATTCCCCCAACTGTGGACAGACAGTGTGAGCTCTCAGATCGACTGGGTGGTTGTTTAGCAAAGCTAGGTGAGCAGTACATATTTATACTCCAAGAGTTATACTCCAGATCAGAAAAGGAGGCGGAATGTGCAAAATCCACGTCTTGCTTTTTATATGGTAGTGTCAATGTGGGAACCCTCAATATTTCTTCTACAGTATATGGGAAAGAAATTATGTAAATAAACAACCATTACTGCTCAGGCCCTCCTGACTTAGCCTTTGTAGTGCAGAGAATGTATTTCATGTTGTGCATTCAGAAGAGTTTAGTGTTCAGGAAATATAGATGTAATCAGCTGCCATAACGAGAAATCAAAGTTATTATTGTGCTGAAAATGGATTTATTGTATTTATGTTAACTAGATGGCTCCTTTCAGCGAAGGTCTCGTTTATTTGAGGGAATATTTAGGTGTATGAATTAATGAATTTTTTAAAAAAGTAAGTTCAGGTCACGACCTAGTCCTTGGATGCTGTCCAGAATATTAAGGATTAAACATACCATCCGGAGGCCAAATGTGAAAACCACCACAGGGAACCCCCGTGCCAGCTTCAAATACTTAGCTGGAACAAACCTCATTGGACAATATGTCTAAAACTGTCTTTTCCATCATTCAAAGTTTGCTTAAAAGTTGGATGACTTTGAGAAGGCTTCCCATGAATTCCCTTCTGGCTAGCAATCAAAACAAGTTTAGTCAAAAGTGGAAATGTGTTGTATGGAGGAGGGGGGTGAATTACTACTGACAGCTCTATTTCCATTTTCAGATATTCTGCTTGCAATTTCCCAACAAAATAATGTTATTGTTCACTTCTCGGCCTCCCTTGCACCTTGAAGACTTGGTTCAAGAAACTTCTTTGGGAAAACTTTTTTTTAAAGGAACACTTTTCACAGGGATGTTTTAGGATGGAAAGTTGAAAGAAAAGCATGAATAATTCCACAGTCTTCCCTGCAGCCCGCACAGTCCTCGGCTCTCTCTGGGAAAGGACATGAGATCAGAAAAGTCAAGGGGGTTCAAAGAACCTTAGGGGGGACAAGGAAAAGTGAGGGGAGACCTTTCTTGAGAAGACCTCTGTCCAGCTCCAAGTCACATTTCTGCTTCAAGACACCTCACTGGATGAGATTTTAAAACCCCAGCTTCCCTGACACTGGCTTGCTTCCTGATTAATTTGGCTAAAGAGCCGGGTAGTGGAGAGCCAGCCAGGCCCCAGGCCTGCCAGAGCTAAAGCAGCCCAGTCGCTGCTTCCCAGGCTCTTTGTCACTTTTGAAAAACACGTTTCCATCAAGAAGACTTATTAAGATAAAATGCATTCAAACACCGAGGAGGCTATTCAATAAATCTTCCATTTGTTTTAAGGTTCACACTTTATCCTCTTGCAAAGAATAACTCCCTCTCCCACTAGCAGACCTGCATTTGCACTGAAAGTAAAAGGGGGGCAGTCCAAGTCCACGGCTCTGGCCACCCTGCATACAAATGAGACGCTCTTGTCTAAATAAATTATCCGCTGTTCCGATCGATATTAATACTACATTTGCTACATTACAATATTGTGCAAATTTAAGAGTCATTTCAATACAATGTAAATACGATTCTTCACGCATGAAAGCCAAGAAATATTGATAGATTATACCACTGCTTACTGTTCAACGAGGCCTTGGGAAAGGGGTTTTGCCATCTCTGCTCAAGAATGGTTTTAATTTGGCCTTTGGAGGTCCTGGCTCTAGGATAGATTTATTAGGATGGTTTATTTGTTCTCTGAATGGAGGAGTTAAAAACAATAGTGCCAATAATGGTGGTAAAACTGCAGCTAACCCAACTCACAGTGGGCAAGGCCCAGGACCCAGTCTGAGCAGCCCTGTTCCCCACCAGCCTCCTTTCCGGCTTTGTTTATATTTCCCCCCATTACCTGCTGTCCCGGGTGTTTATATGTTTCCCTCTTGCAGGTTACAATAATAAAAGGCGAGCAGTGTTCTCAGAGGCTCAGACCAGAGCCTTCAAAGGCAACATTAATGCACTTTCCTGGAAGTTAATTTGAACCATCTATCACAAGAGAAATTGTTAACATGCATGTTACCACCGCCTACATTTAATTTGATATTTTTAAGGCACTCTGTTAAATTTTCAATGTTCGTATGTTTTGCATGGCTATGAGATTTATCTCCGGGGCGGGAATCCTCCCATACTTGCGGGTTCTACCGTATTGCTTTTGTTTTTTATCTTTCTTGTTTAGATCGAATCCATTTTTTACGACCCTCAATAACCTCGGCAACTGCAAACATGAATGGTTTCCGATAAGGGAAAATCAGGCAGCAATAAAGCGGGATTATTTATGATTTATTTGCGCGTATTCTTCTCTTTCCACCTCTCTGTGTGTCTCTCTGTGTCGGGAAACTCATCCAGGGAGCGTGCCACACAGAGGAGAAAGCCACATTCCCACGTTCTCTTCCTTCCCTCTCCTCCCACAGAAACGCTAAGCTCTGGCACACACACACGCACACGCACACCGCACACACATACACACCGCACACGCGAGCAGCCAGACGGATCCATCGCACCGCCTCCGCCCCCAGCAGACGCGCGCCCGCCGCCGCGGCCCCGCGCGGGGG